AGAACACTTTCTGCTGGGTAGTGAGGGGTAAGGGGGGGTAAGGGAGGGAGGGGGGTAGGTAAGGGAGGGGGCAGGGGGAAGGGGGGAGAAATGACCCAAACATTGTATGCACATATGAATAAAATAAAAAATTAAAAAAAAAAGTGATATCTAATACACCAGGAAATAATCTCAAACTTTTACCAAGTAGGGACATTCAAATGCTGCCTTAAAAAAGTACTTCAAGATAATGGGAAATTTTCAAGATACTGGGAAATTTTCCTTAATGTATAAAAAAGGTGATATAGAAGGAGAAAGAAAATTAAGAGAAGGGCAATAATAGAAATCTATTATAGTCACTAAGTTATGTCTTCTTTCATATATTTCTCAAAGTGATCTGCTGAAGAGAGTTCTTTTACTCTTTCCATCTTAGAAACAAGGCACTGATATAGAGAAGGGCTAAGTGAATCACCCATGATGATACAGCTTCACAGAGACAGACCCTACATCCAAAACTAAAGGTTCTTCAATTCTCCCAACTTCTCTATGAACTTTAATTCACAGAAAACTATAGTAACTAAAAAGATACTCTCAGGAGACTAATCAACTGGAATTTGAGTTTCATTGATCAGTGACCTTTTTACTGATGTCATTACAAATAATTGTAAAAAACATTCAAACAGATCACCATAAAGTTTAACAAAGTATTTGCACAAATCTCATTTGGCTCTAACAACCTTGTGATGGAGGCAGATTATTCATAAAGATGAGAAACATGAGACTTTTCCATATCAGCTACTAAGTGAGAAAGCTTAGATTTTAATCTAGTTTTTCACCTCTAAGCATTTCACCAAACCATGCTGTCTCTCTTCAAATTTAAAAACTACTAGTCCTTTTATTTGCTCCACAGAATAACCAGAATCTGTATAAGCCCTGACTTAACACAGCACAAGTACCAGGTACCTGGTTACAATTCTGAGAAGGAGATATTATTAACCTTCATCAAGACTTGAGGAGGAAAATAATTTATCTGAAATAATATAGCCAGCATGCTAACTTAGACTTGGATTCCAAGTGTGTACATCTGACTACTACCTGGAGCAGCCTCTTATTCTCAGCTTTGTCCTTTCCCCACATGAATGATACAGGTTCTGAAATTCCTCTTTGTGATGTGTGAGGTATAATATTTAATAACATCTGGCTCTTACAGTCTCTTCTCAAATGGCTCCAAAGCCACAGCCAGTCAAAGTTATAACTTCCTGGCATTCATTAAACCAAGAGCCTGCAGACTATGGTTTGTCCCTACTCTATCCATCACTAATGAATTAGTGGGCTTTCTATGCTGTCTTCAAATTGGGGGCAATGACAACGTATCCACCTAAAGATAAAGTAGGCCTACATGTACTTTGCTGGGGCTACGATTTCTTAATACGAACCTTTTCCTTAATATGAATTTTCAGATCATAAATACGTTCAGATTCTCATAAGATCAAAATAACCTAAAATAAAAGAACAAGTCAATAAAATCCCTTTCACTGTACCAAGTGAAAGTTGGCAATAACAGGATACTCAGGAGTTCAACCTCCAGTACCTCCATAGACAGATAACTAGATAGACAGATAAGTAAACAGAGGTGATAAATAAAGACCCATGTGGGGAGAAAAACAACAAAAAGGTGAGAGAACAGGTAAGACATCCAATGTCTAAAGATTTTAGTAAATATTAGAAAGAAAAGTATTGTATGGTGAGGCAAGTCTTAACTTTCTACAAACCTCTCCCTTTGTGAATCCCACATAACAAATTCTTTACGAAATCTTCATAAACACATGCCTGTAATTTAAAGGGATGCAGGTCCTATGAAGTCTAGTCTTAGGCCTATTGGTTAGAATCCTGGGAGAGGAAGGAGTTCTGCATAGCCTCTTAGGAGATTTGGTGTCTGTTTCTGGCCCACTACCCTGTTATAGTAATCCGGTCACTTTGCCTCTCTAGCTCTGTTTCCTCACCTGATAAAGATGATCTTTCTCCTTTTTAGGGCTGGAGGACATTCCATTCTGTGTATATACATTTTGCCTATGCATTTTCTTTATCCATTATCTGTTGACCAATATTTGGGTTATTTCTACTTTTTGATTGTGAGGTAGGCTAAAATAGGAAAAGTTCCAGACTCTTAAAACATGTGTGACTTAACAGTCTTCTCTTTCCTTCAGCCTTCTTTTCAACTGCAAATATGTGCAGATTATTCACACAGCAATCCAGGGACCATCCATGTCCCTCCCTACTCATGAACTGTGGGAATCACCAGGTTTTTCCCTTCCCATAGGTTAGTATAAGTTTTAAAAGCACCTGGAAAGACAAAGTGCTCTCTCTACTTCAGCCTCATACTTGGCCCATCGTGCTGTTTTTTAGATTCTCCCTTAACCCTTAATAAACTCCATTACCTCCCTTTCTACACCCACATGTCCTGCCTGGATGCTTCCATCTGGAACACAAAAAATCTGGGAATCTTCTCATCAGAGACTACAAGAGCCGACAACAGTTTTATGTGGTCTCTAAAGAAAAATGAACAAATAATAGCTGTATATACTTATGTGATATATACTTTTGATATATGTATACACTGCAAAAAGATTATTTCAATCAAGCTACTTAAGATATCCATCACCTCACCCACTTATTCTTTTGATGAGAACGCTTAAAAATCTACTCTATTTAGAAATATACCATATTACATTGGCATGTAATTACATGGCTAAATCTTGTACATTTTAGGCCATGTGAAAGAAACCTGTAAGGGCCAAATATTGCATGAGTGCCTAGACTGGGAAAATTCTTAGACACACCAAGAACAGAGGTTCCTAGGGCTGGAACATGGAGAGTTAGCACCTATGGCTATACACTTTCTATTTGGAGTCATGAAAAGGTTCTGGAAATGGATAGTGGTGACGGTTACAGAGCACTGTGAACTGTACATGTAAAAATAGATAAAAAGAATAAATTTTATGGGGTGGGTGTATGTGTTAGCACAATAAAGGCGAGGGACAGGCAAAAAATAAAAATAAAAAAATTAAAAAAATCTGTCCTGACCCATTATGGCTGAAATTCTAGCAAAGTCTACCAGTCTTACAGAAAGACTAAGGGAAGTAGGAGAATGATCTCCTTACCTTTTAATTGCTAGCTGTGACTCAGCACTTTCCCTGGGCTTCAGAAAAATTCAGTAAGGGCTAGACCTGCAGCAAGATGCTCATACCCGGCTCTCAGCGTCTTCCATGTGGAAATTTCCCAAATTAAAGTTTTCTTTTACCACTCTCCCATCAAAAGGAAATAACTGTCTTTTCCTCATGTAACAGAAATAGGATTTTAAAGCAAGCAAAAAAATCTCTAGGAATAACCAAACATACTCTTCTTAAAGCTGTGCTGCAATAGTGGTCTTGTGACATCCTGGTTCAAGCATATAATGAAGCTGTTGTAATCACTTTACTTCCCCATTTGGATAGCAGTCCTTACTGAACTACTTCCCAGCAAAAACTCTTAAGCTATAATGCGCTAGAATACCAAATTTGGACAGACTGCATTTGAACTTCACAATAGTATTGTTTCAACCTCTGGAACAAGGACTCCCTTCCTGAGACCAAGAGGCAAACTGCAGAATGAATCTAATCACTGGCCAGATGGGAAGTAGGAAGAACAGACTGCTCTCTGGAATGCTGTCATAGGACAGCTCAGTATCCAAAGCTCATGAGAGATGAAGAGTGCCTTTCCTATCACCACTGTAACTACAGCACCCATAAGAAAGCTTCCTGCAAAGAACCGTCTCTCTGGCTTACCTGGGAAAGTTATAAGTTTGGCATATAGCAAGGAAAAAAAAAAAATTTAAATATAAAAACACTTTATATATCTCTAAGTTGTGTTGCAATGAGATCTCTCCATGGTCCTTTCAGATTACCTCATACACACAGAGCTAAAAATGGTAAAACATAAAATGCAGTGAAATGAAATCAGTTATGAGCAAGATATCTAAGAATTTGGAAATAATGCCTTAGTTTCTGAGTCCCTCAATTGCTAAAGAATAGAGCCAATGGGGTTTATTTTTGTTCAGACAATGTGTTATGAAAGATGATGCTCATAAGACAAATAAAAAACATTTCAAAAGAAGCTATTCTCAAACCTTGTGCCTTTTATAAATATTCCAATGAAATGTGTTGGCTGTTCTAATGCACCTACTCCTCTATTTATATAAGAAAAAGAACTCAAATATTTGGACTATCAGTCTTCTTCCAAAGGCCTTTTAAGAGTCAGAACAAGTAACAATTGAACCCAAAGACAAATAGGATTTCCTACTGCATATTTCCAGAACAACTCAGTTGCTTTTTACTGCTATTCATAAGAGACTAGTGCTCTGAATTTACTCACAGAAATTACATTCAAACCAAAACTCAATTGTTTACCAATTTTTCTGTATGCGATTATAACATCAAGGCAATGGTTTCTAATTAACTCAAGTTTTAAAGACATACAGAGGGGGAAAGGGAGAGGACAGGGGATGGGGGGGGGGGGGGTGGGGAGAAATGATCCAAACATTGTATGCACATATGAATAAACGAAAAAAACATTAATAATAATAAAGAGAAAAGCTAAAAAAAGGACATACAGAAAAAAATATGTATGGCATAGGAAAAATGGTTTCCTCTAGTACTAAACCAGGGCAAACTGTATACACTGGTAACATTATGCTACCCCACAGACAAGAGTCATTCTGAGTTTTCAGTAAAATAGAGGAAGTAAGAAGCAGGGAGTCAGAGGAAAGAAAGTGGTACTATGACTTACGTTTGTGTCTGACAATAATGAAGTGGTCAGCAAGAGCAAGCTTACAAACCTCCAGCAGCAGGCAAGACACAGAGTTATGGTTTTAATCCACAGCAAACTCATACTGAGAAGCCAAGTGGGCTGGACTACTATGACTCAGAGGGCAGGGCTAGCAGTGATGAGAGAGAGGAGGGAAACAGGGAGAAATGAGCACTTACTCTGTTAGAAGCTGGTGCAGCTTGTGATAACCTCGCTCCAAGGCCAGGCTCACAGGCGTTGCCCCTTCCTGGTTGTGGATGCTGAGAGCTCCACGGCCACCTGGCTTCTGCAACAGGAACCATGTCAACCGCAGCAGTCCCAGCCGCACAGCAAAATGCATCAATGTCTCCCGGGGGCCACCATCTGTGAATAGGGAAGAACATAAAAATAAGTAAGAATGTAATGACTACAACACCACCAAAGAAAGACAAACCACCAAAAAGACAGGTTAAGTAGATAACCACTGCCATCACATATCTAAATCCTGAAGGTAAAACTTTAACATACAATGACCATCTTTACTGTGGCCAGGTAGAATCAGCTCACATTGTAAAGACAAAATCAAGCTAGAAAAAAGTACATGCAACAACATCTTTAACAGTAGACAGTTCCACAATAGAATGAAACCATTTCTGTATTTGGACTTAATGTGTTCAACCAATTTCACAGGGAGGTTTATACAGCTAACTGCATATACTCTCTTTTCCTTTAAAAAAAATATTAGAAGTGAATGCAGACTCACAAGATGGGGACCCATAAGCAACAGTTCTTAGGACTTACATAGGTGTTTCATAAAGGGTATAATTACTTTTAAAAGAACTCTTACACAGGAGTTAAGCTAATTAAACACTGAGAACAGGTTCTACTTGTTAAGTACACATAGTTCTTTTTAGTCCCCCATGTTAGAGGCATATCAAACTGCTGCCAGTGCCAGCTTTTGTTTGTTTAATGACGAAAAAAAAGGCATCTGCAGGCATAAAGACTAACTTTAAGACAATACACTAGTAACTTCAGAAAGAAAAACATGTGCTTAGGCTTCACTTGAAATGAAGGGTCCTTCTTGGTATAATGAGTCACTCTGAAAGTGGTGGAATGAGGAAGGACTTTGGACTTCGGCAAATCTGGGTTCAAACCTGGTATTTAGCATTTGTGTGACCAGGCATGATTCACTTGCCTCTCTGAGCTTTACTTTCCCCATTCCCGGAGTGGGATACCATCACCTCACTCACAAGGCTGCTTTATAAATGAGAGGAGATAGGTGAAAGGCTAGACTAATGACCAGCTTTCCTGGCTCTCAGCCCTCTCCTCCTGGGCTTCAAATTACATTCTAGGTTCACTAGCAAAACACACTCTCTTCCTTAGCTATCGCCACTGCAGGGCTATTGTGTGTGGTCCCACAAGGCTGTGCACTGCTTTCATTTCTCATTCTTCATGGTTTCCCTTGAGCATTCTCAAGACTTCTTGGACACTGTACCCTCTTACTCTGAAATGCTCAGATGCTTCAATATGTTCTTATATGTGAATATCACTATAGGAATGAACAATCTTTGAAGCTGTGATTTTACACTGAACTGTCTTCTGATGTCACCTGTGTAGTTAAGGTAGTCTCCTTATTTCTGAGGTACATTCCTTAGAAGCAAAATTTATTTTTCACATTTTATATTTTCCCTATAGAACCATATATTCAAAGACCAATTCAGGATTTATAGAATGTTCTAGCAGAGGCATATGACAAGAAAGAAACCAATGCCCCAGGAGTTAAGGATATAGCTCAGGGGTAAAGTGCCTACCTGGCATGTACCCGGGCCTAGGTATAAAACTCAGTATCACAAAAACAGAAACACACACAGAAATCAATGGCCCAAAGAAATAATTACATGTGCAGGTACAAATTTTAATAATCAACACCTCTGAGGAGGTAGCAGGGACAAGAAAAAGGGCAGGAAAATGAGGAAGGTAAAGAAGAGTTAATATTGCCAAGGTACTTTCTATACATGCATGGATATGAAACACTGAAACCTGTCAAAGTCATTCTAAAAGGGAGTGTGGGGGGAGAGGAGACTAATGGAGGGGATGAACCAAACCAGGGCATAATATATGCATACATGGAAATGTCACAATGCAATTCTCTGTACAATTATCATATACTAATAAAAGTGTTTAAAGAAAAAAGTCTCATAAGCGATTAAATATCACCATCTGACTTACACTTTACAGTTGCCCACAAGCATTTTGACATCCTTATCAAAAACAGAAGAGCTCATAAAGCACTGACTGACCAGGAAATTCGTGCTTTTTTTCAAAGCTGGTTAATTCCAGTCTTACCAGGTGACAACTCCTTAAAGTAGCTTTCTCTTCAGTCCACACCCTATTTCTGTCCACAGCTCTGACTCAGCAGGGCATTTATGAGTTTCAAGGATAAGGCCATAAACTGGCTCAGAATGTGACACCCTGATTCCAGCACTGCATGGTTCCCTAGGCTCACTCTGAGGTCTTCTAGCAGTAAGGGCTACATCTGCTTTTACGTGCTTTTTAGTTTGCAAACAAGAGATTTAGAAGGAAAGTATTATATAAGGAGGACTTCCTATAGTCCATCTAGTGGGCTATCTAGCATATATCAATTTTCTCCTTTTATCTTCACAACAACCTGATGAGGTCTCATTGTTTTCATTTTGCAAATAAACACAGGTTTGAGAATTACTAACTTGCCAGAATTAGGATTTTAAAATGCTTCTCTCTTACATCTAAAATCCATACCCTCCCATTGCTCCAGTCTGTCTCTTTTGGCTTAAAAGAAAAAAAACCTGTCACACGAACAAGCTAATTATGTGGTTTTAAAAAGCACCTTTTTGCACTCAAGGTGTGGCTCAAGCAGTAGAGCGCCTGCTTTGCAAGTGCAAAGGCCTGAGCTCAAACTCCCCTCCAACACACACAAAAAAAAAAAGAAGAAAGGAGAAGAATTATATTAACAAATAGCCAAATATCCACCTAGGTCCTACAGTTAATGTGTTTCTGTATTTTCCTTATCACAAATCTATCCAACTATCTTTTTTCCTTCCATATATCAATCTTATTTTTATGTATTTCAAAGTAAGGTGAAGTGTATCAGTCTATACACTTCAGCATGAATATTAACTAGAATTCAATAAATGGTTCTAATTTTGGGTAATTTACATACAGTGAAATGCAACTGGTCCACAAGCATAGCATAAGTCCCTAGAGTCACAGGATTGTGCTGTGGGGAAGGCAGATCGATGTGTAAACTGCAGAGCAAGAGGTTCTGCCTACCAGAGGCCTCTGCTGTGAGGAGACCCCTGAATGGAAACCACAGTCACCCTGTCTGACCAGGAGGAAAAACCTTCAACTGAGGATTTGGGGATAAGAAGGAAGGAAGGAAGAATACATTAAACTCAAAGTTATGGGACAGGATAGCAGTGAGTTTAACTTCAAAGTGAGTATGACCATGCATCTCAGGAGACTCAAAAGAATCAGCTAGACACCAGTGGCTCACCCCTGTAATCCTAGCTACTTGGGATGTTGGAGGACAGCCTGGGCAACCCATCTCCAAAATAACCAGAACAAAATGGACTGGAGGCATGGCTCAAGTAGCAGAGCACCTGCCTTCCAAGTGTGAAACCCAGAGTTCAAACACCGGCCCCATCAAAAAAAGAAAAACTCAAGGAATCATACTGTCAAAGACAGGGAGTTCCAATGAATTCACTGAAGGGCAGAGAGTTCCTGACAATCCTCTGTAAAGGAATGAGGGAAGAAAATGTCAGGAAGTTTATCAGTAACAAATGTGGAGGTGGGGAGTTGTCACCCTACCATTTGGATAGTCTTTTTATTTTAAAAATAGTTCTTTTGACACAAGTGCATGGAAACAATGCTAGGAATCTCTCTGTATAGCTATCTTATCCCAAACTAGCAAAAACACCTTGTCTTTCTTATTACCTTTTATGTTTTCTCTTCAACAAAATCGGAGAAGAGGGCAGAACAGGTTCAGCCTGGAAGCAGGGGTGGGGGATAGCACAAACAATATATACACATGCAAGTAAACACAGCAATGATAAAATAAAAGAGAAAGAAAAAATAGTTCTTTTATAATGTGGTGTTCAGAATGGATTTGAATACTGGCATTTCATCCTTTAAACATCTGGTAATTTGAATTCTAGTATTGTCTTGTTCGCATTGCACTGATTTTTGGTAATCAAACCATAACCCCCTTCATATTGTCCTCTCCTTTCAAAAAATTACCTGTGTGCACAGAGAGACCACTTTCTTGAGACTGTGCATTCTCAGGTTTGTGGTGATTAAGTAAGACTGAAAAGAGAACGCTCATAATGACATCCCAGTTGGGCCGGAAATTATGGCATGTGGCTGCTTCACTACTGGACTGTGCCTTTCAGTGGGAGCTGAACTGTGGGAAAATGACCTTCCTAAACTTGAAGCTACGTTTAGAGCCTGAGAGTTTGAACCAAAAGAAGTGGAAGTCAAGATGACAGACATGGTGAGAGTAGTAACTAATTCCACAGATAGCTTCGCTGAAGAGAAAACATTTAAGATTTATAAAATACCTGTGAGAAAAGTGTTCATTTCATCAGCAGTTAGTAATTATTCACACAAAAGTGTACAGAATAGAACATTGCTCCTTTTGATCTTATTTGTACTTTTTGGCCTGGGGCACAGGTTTTTTTTTTTTTGCTTGTTTGTTTATTCATTCATTCATATGTGCATATGTTGTTTGGGCCATCTCTTCCCCCTGTCCCCCACCTCCCCAGCACAAGTTTTCAATGGACATTGTCCACACCAGCTTCATTAAAATAAACAGTATTTGTAAGAACCATAAAAAATTTGAAATGGTTCAGGAAACCTGAAGAATTTTGACAAATGCATGTATCTTTACTAATGCAAACTCCAATTAAAATATAAAGCATTATCAATATCCAAAGTTCCTTTGCGCCCCTTCCCAGTTAACCCCCCATTCCTAGTTAAATGCTGCGCTCAAAACCATAGGTTTTGCCTATTCTAAGAGTTCATATAACAGAACTGTATGAGATACTCCAGCACTAAGCTGCTTGGGTAGCCCACAATGCTGCCATCTATCAGTAGTGCACTCCTTTCACTGCTGAGGAGTACCCACTGCATGTATGCACCTCGGTGTGTGCCAATATTCTCCTACTCATTTTTCACGCATTTTTAATTTGATCTTCACAGAAATCATGTGAATTACGTTTGTAGAAGAGGAGGTCAAGGTAAAAGGGACACATACATAAATGAACATACAAATGGAGTTTCTTCTAGTCTATGTTAAGAACATAAAAGCTTTTACCCTAACCTTCTGTTCCTTTTGTCTAAGTTTAAATTGAGCACCAACTGCACAGCTAACTCATGATCTATCTCCATTCTCAATTCTCTGTATCTCTTTTTCCTCTCATGATTCTTGGTCGTTTTCCTCTATATTCTGGGAGTTATTCAACTTTTATTTTTTAGATCACTAGCTAGATTTTCTACAATGTCATTCAGGGTCCTTCATCCCAGTGTGAATTTAATTACTCTCTGAAATTCTGAATATCCTAGCAGCATTTCTGCCAACTCCATCTTTGCCCTCCTAATAGCTTCTGTTGCAGATGTAACTTAAACCCCAAATCAGTAGGCTTCATAAGGAAGGTTTATCCTGGGTAATATAAGTAGACCTGATTGAATCAGTTGGAAAACTTTAAAAGCAGTACTAAACAATAAAAATAAAACAGGGTTTAGGGTTGGAGGCATGGCTCAAGGGGCCCTGAGTTAAAACCTCAGTACTGCCAAAAATTAAATAAGTGAATGAATAAGGAAAAAAATAAATTGGGGCTCGGGTTTCCCCTGGAGAGAGGGTGATTTTCTCCAGGGAGGTCTGCTTCAGGCTGTGCCATGGAGTTCGAGCCTACTCAGGATCTCTCATTTCTGACCATGTAAGGATGGCAACTGTGACCATTTTCTCTTTATTGTTTCCTTCTCTTAATTTCATATCTGTCTTCTTCAATCTTTTAAAGGACGAATGAACAGTATCTTCTAAACTATAGTTTGGTGTCTCAAAGAAAAGCATATTCAAGAGTGTCCTATCTGAATACTCATTATACGTTTCCCTTTCCTTTATGCTGCAATGGTATCTCCTAGGACCCATTTTAGAAAGGTTTCCTGTTTAACCATACTTAATTGGGACTCTCCAAAGACTGAGCTTCTACTCACAGAAAAGGCAGTGGCAAAGTGTCTGAACTCCTGCTTGCTGTCCATGTGCACACTGAGTGCACTTCCCACATAGCCCCAAGAAAGCTCATGTGCCTGGGAGGCCTTCCACTACAGAAGAGGGGCTGCATCCTCTTCAAATCATTAGATTCCCTGACTAATAATCATCAAGGACTGCACGCACTTTCCTATCCCACCAGACCACCCAGCACTCTTCAAACCGGTACCTAGGAGATTCCAAAATCACCATTCTTTCTACCCCCCCATAAGACCCTCATGAGCCAGACTTACACTGTATGAGGAAGAAAAGCATTCTTAACAGGCCAGGGTGAGAAAAATGGGTTTTAGGGAAAAAGACTTTTAACCCTGTGACACGAGCAATGCCAGGGAGGCCAACAAAATCTAGTACAGCTTAAGCTCTGCAGTTACCAGACACTGCTCATCTTTAGAATCCATAGTTCTTAACCCTTCATCAAGGAAAAAAATCCAATAGTGGCCTTTTATGTTTTATTACTTTCTTTTTTGAAAGTGACAATAGCTAAAAACACAAATACTACTATAACTAAGGAAAAATTTCCATGGAAAGCTATCAAATACTCTGACAGGATCACCAAATGATTATGGTTTGAGAATGTAGTAATCAAAATCAAACTAGGACAGTCTTCTTAAACTGTCTTCATTCTTTCCACCCAAATCTCTGTGGGGAGGATTCTCACCTCAAGGAAAATCATGTCCTCTTTTCACTGTGTTATACAACACTATGACAAATAAGAATAAAGACTTCCACCAGGATGTTTCTCCTTGCTTTCTCTAGAGCAAATCTTCAACAGGCCCAATCTAACTACCTGAGAGTCATGCCGATTGCTACTGTACTCAGGTCTTTCAGGACAAAACCACCCACTTCACCATTCTCACTAACCCCTAAAGCACTGAAGAGCTCAGATAACTAAGTGAGACTTGGAAACTCAGAAAAGGAGAGTATTCTTGCCCCCATCATTCACCCTCCACTGGGCTGAATCCTTATCACCTTCAATTAAGGCAGAACTGTGTCAAAAACAAGTACAGTGGAGAGACTCCTTAAGTAACTAGGGAAGAAGAAAAACTTGGGATTCACATGGACAAACCCCCTCTTGCTTAACTTGAAAGTGAGGATTAACATCAGCACCATCATTTTGCTTTGAAAAGTTTATAATTCCGTAAGATGTGTTACTGTACAGAAATTAATAGCCATATTGGTCTAGAAGCTTAGACTTCATTGTTTTTCCTCTTGTACAGGGATAATGTACCATATTAAATATGTAAGGTCGTTCTACTCTCTAAACAATGAAAAAGATAAGTCAAATCTAAACCAAGGCTTCTTAACTTCATGTCTAAAGCTCAGGGAGATGGTGAAATTCACCCCATGTATGTGTCTGTAGCTAGGCAGCTACATGCGTGTTTTTTTTCACAGGAAAAATCTGAGCTACTTTCAAAGGAGTCACTGACCTGAAAAAAAAATAGCTAAAAAGCACCACATCTCTTCCATTACAGAGTAGGAGGATTAGTGATCAATCTTACTCAACTCTTTTGTATAAGTCTTAGGCTAGAAAACCTATAAACATCCTAGCTCTCAAGAGCAAGTCGTCAGCTTACATAACAAGGTGCCCTATTTATTTGTATTGTCACACCAGGCACCACACTTACTTCCTACCCATTTCGTTTACATACCTTTTTAAAATTAACTGGTGTGCACCTGACTGATGTGATCAGACAGTTCCATTGCATTGGTCCCTCAACAGCAAGCACAGTAAGTTCTTAACTGATGCTCATCTGCCCTGAGTATACTTAGGGTTCTTAAATTTCAAGCCACAACTAAGAGAACAATCTAAACTATAGAATGTGAATTAAGTACTTGAGACCAGAGTTCCTGACTTACTGACATTTCTATCAAGTCTCCTGCATACATTTTATCTTGCAGTGTATACACTTAAAACACTTAAATCTGTTCAATTACTTTCATTATTAAATTGCTATTTTTAATATATGTACAATTACATTCCCTTATGGACAATGTACAGTTCTATACATTTTAACACACACATAGATTCTTACAAGTACACAAACAAGATACAAATAACTCCAACGCCCTCTAAAAATTACCTCGTAATACTCTGCAATCAGGCCTTTCCCTGCAATCCCAGCCCTGACAACTAACGATTGTCATGTAAATGGAACCATATAGTACATAACCTTTTACTTTGTACTTTTACTTAGTACAATGCATTTCAAATGCATTCAAGAAGGTCAGGCACAGTCTGTAATCCCAGCAACTTGGTTAGGTAGATTAGGTCAGAAAGAAGTAATAAATCCAAAGTTTCAGCCCTTGGCTTTTTCTAACAGTTCTTTTTAATCATCACAACACGAACTGTGTCCAAGGCCCTCTTTAAATAAAACTATAAAAATGTTGTAAGCTCCACATTAATGTCAAACTATCTTAATACTGACTTGTAAAAGGAACAAGATAATCGTTCCCATATCAGTACAGAGAAGGTTGGAGCTAAGGGCATTAGGGCCCATCATTAGGGTTCTCAATAGGTACGAAGTCCTATATAATGTCAACTATCTGAACTTGCAATCTTACCAATGAAAGTTTCTTGGACACTATGGTCTCTCCCTTGATTTTACAGCCTACACTTTCTTTTGTATTTTACTTGGTATCTGTTAGTAAGGCCCCTGATAACACAGGATTGCATTCCACTGTTGGTCACAGGGTAACCTGTTTAAATTTAGTAGATTAAATAAGAGAATCAACACTTGCAAACTACAGCACTCTTCCATGGGAGGAAGAGCTGACTTATCTGATGTGTGTGACAGAACAAACTGAGTATGCCCTAGTTCAGTCCCCTCTGAGCAACTCTCCTCAGGAACTAACTGCTCACCTGTAGAGGAGACCTCTGGCCTGCTCACTCTCCACGACACAATAATCAAAGCCAGGTGGACTCTAGGACAGTTGTAACCAAACACTCTTTCAGAGATGAAGTGGAAAGTACAAGCAAAGCCTTCTGACAAGAATTCTAAGATCAGTCTTCAACACAGCTTTCAATAGCATTAAGGCAAACATTTTGATCTCTTATCTGTGAGATTTCTAATTTTTCAACTGAGTTCGCACTCAGAATGGAAACAAGTTGGTATTTACAGAGGCCAGGTATTTTTCACTCTTAAAAATATATGTATGTGTAGTCATGACATCTATCAGATGTCATCTGCTACAAGAATAATTACGTAAGGAAACACTTTTCTGAATAAGAGGATATTTGTAGGTACTATTTGTTGGTACTTATTACATCAGTGGCTTTTGTGTTTGTAGAAACCTTTATTTAAGGAACTCCTATATGGAGAGACAAGATAAAATCAGCACCCTGGTTAAAGAAGTCGGGTGGGGGGAGGGGCGGTTTCTAGAAGCTTATCCTATCATGATTCCCTGACACACTCCCCAATTTCCTTTCCTCCATCTCCATACAATCTCCAGCACACTTCAGAACACAGTAGCAAAAAAGCCTTCTTCGATCACCACTAAAACCAAAATGCTACTCTCCTCATGATGGATGATCACCTTCTGGCTCAAGAGTTCAAGCCTCAAGCAGCACCAGTCTACTTGGGTACCCTAGGATTAACAGCTCAAAGAACATTAACAGATGCCTTCAAGGCCACTTTGCAATAGTAAGTCTAATGTTTATTTGGCCGCTGTGGAAGACCTGAGTGACCACATACAAGTAGAAACACCCAAGTGTTCCAAGTCTAAAGGCTGTTTATAAATCACATAAATTCTCACCATGAGAAGTGTGATCTGCCCCCAACACGTTCCATTCTGCTGGCAGCTTCAGGTGTCTGAATGCCAGTGCAACCTTCTCATCAAGGGAATTTACATCCGCAGATGGGGGTCCTGACCGGTCAAGAAAACGAGTGAAATTCAGAGCCTGTTGATTCCCAGCACTGGTCGCCAGGAATTGAGCTGCATCATAGGCCTCATCCTGGACAAAATGAAAATCTTCTTCAGCCACCACAAACACAGGCACGCCCTCTTTGGAGGCACAGAGCAGCACTTTCACTGTCTCACAGCAGTTGTGACCTAAAGGAAGTATGGGCAGCAAAGAAAATAGTATTAGAGTTCACCGGTGAAAGGAGGACACTGGTGGGTCGGTTTACCTCTTTTCTCATCCCATAAAAAAAAAATCCCTCCTTCCGGACACTGATGGTATTTTTTCAAACTTCTTAAAACTATATTTTTGACTATTTACATTGTTACTGCAAATATGAATGAATTCCTTGAACAAACAGTAAACAATTTTATGTCCTAGTTTTCACCATGGCTGTAACATCGTATTTAACACAGAATGGACTAATAATATCAACTACTGCTGTTCAACATGCAATTGGAAAATGGAAACTCCAGGATACCATGAAGCAAAGCATACACTGAGAAGTCTCACACCTACTGAGCTGAACAGATTTGAAAATGCAACAGGAAAACACCACTTACACAGGGATATGGCAAGAATTGTACAGCTGGCCTGGCACTTACAACCACAACCCAATAAATCAAATGATGAAGCACTGTGAAAAGTGCAAAGCAACTTTAATTTTCCTTTTCTGTTACTACCAATCCATTCCCTAAAAAGTAAATAGCTGTTCTCAGATACACGTTCTTTCCTATCTCAACCATTAATGCAATGAGAACATCAAGATCACCTGGTTTGCATAGGGTCATGCAATGCTGTCCCAGTTCAGAAAACGCAAAGACTCTATGCTGCCCACTGCGCAGAAGGGCAGGTGGGCTCCTCCTGGGCTATGACTTTAGCAACAACCTATCCGCCATCCCAAACAGTTCAGCTGCAGCCAAATTACCAAGCTTTAGCAGCACCAAGTTTCTGCAGGTAATCAAGACTTTCTGGTGAACCAGGTGCCAGTGGCTCATGCATGTCTCCTTGGGAGACTGAACTTGGGAGGATCGTAGTTCAAGGCCAGCCTGAACAAATAGTTCATGAGACTTCATCTCCAAAATAACCAGACCAAAATGGACTGTAGGTATGGCTCAAGTGGTAGAGCGCTTGCTTTGCAAGTGCAAACCAAGCCCTGAGTTCAAACCTCAGTCCCATCAAAAAAGACTTTCTGCTGGACTTCTAGTCTTTCAGAATTAAGTATTTCCAATACGCTAATCATAGTCAACAAAGCATAGCTGTTTTTCTCAACTTTCAAACACCAATCTCAATTAGCCTAAAGTATACTATTTCTATCATCACCATTCTTCCTCTATAAAATACTGTTCTGATGGGTGAGGGAGGAAAGAAAACTGAGCTAATGTTTTTGTTGTTTAAGTTATGCTACCTCATACTTTGATTCACCAAAGGCACCAGGGCATCCAGTAGTTCCCTCAACCTACACCTGTACAGACTGCTTTTCTCCCATGCCTGTGGGAGAGGTTTCAAACTCAGAACAAACTAAGCTTTCTGCTATCACTGAAAGAGAAAACAATGTTTTTTCTACTTATGTTTTCCCCAGAATCCTCCCCTTTTGCTCTTTGTCCTGTGACAAAAGAAATCTCTCACTGCCATGCAATTCTAAGCTAGCAAGAAGTATCTACCAACCAAGTACCTACTACATACCAGGCATATGACATGTCATTTTCTCTATTTAACAATTTTAAGAGGTATATATCATTCTCACTTTATAGGCAAGGAAACTGAGACCTCAAAAAGTAAAGTAACATGTGCAAGGTTATAGATACTGAAAAGTTGAACCCATTATTCAAAAGGACATGGCCTACAACATCATGTTACAAGGGTTCTTCCTATGCCACACTGCCTGTAAACAGAGGAGGACACCACCAAGTAAGCCCAACTGAAAGGAGCCTCGGAACACCGAATGGCAGGCCAGGATGACTATTAAACAAGAACAACAGGTTCCTGAATACAAAGATGTTACTTCACACAAACACGTAACTCCACAACAGATTCCTACTGCCTTCTAAGTGGAATTCTTTTTATGAAGTGTATGGAAGCTGAAGCATCTTCTGCCGGACTAATTCCATCTTCATGGAATTTCTACATTTAACATGTAACATAAGGTAGAAAAACAAAAAAGCTGCCCTCTAAAGGGCAGCCAGACCAATTACACAGATACCAATGTCAGGAGGAACTAGTCAAACGATTCACACAACAGCTCTGTGTATTTTTCTGGCAGGAAATGTTCCTTTTTAAAACTTTCTATAACACCTGGCTCAACTGTGTTCAACAACTAGCCAGTGGCATGCATCAAGTTCAGGCATCATAATTAGAAGGTGAAGACAAATAAGGTGAAAGCCACACACACACACACACACACACACACACACCCCACACATATACACACACACACCCCAGTGCAGATAACCGCAAAGTCAGTTGAAATGGAATGAACTCTGTAATAAACACACAGTGCAACTGGGGAGTGAGGAGGAGAGGAAGGGAGGGAACCAGTGTGTTTCACAAGTGAGCAGGAAGATTTCACAAAAGATGTGGCAGTTAAAAGAACCTTTAACAGGCACCCTGTGCCCAACTCTCAAACTCCAGGGATTCTTCTTTGCAACTCTCTCAACTCACATATACTGTCTTTCTTATTTAATAAGCATTTGTATAAAACTGGCTGTGTGCCAGGTACCAATCTTCAGTTTCACCGCTCTAGAGTCCACCCCTACACCCTAAGTGGATGGATATTTAAGATGACTTAGAAAGGAAATAAGGATGGCATGTGAGAATCAATGACAAAATAATAAAAACATACTCAAACCCACTTTAAGACTTGATGGCTACAAACAACCCATCACCCCTGTTTCTCTGGGCCTCAAGTCCCCTTATAACTTCAATCTCTGCAGGCACTAAGGCTTCTCCAGCTATAAAAGCCTTTGGGTCTTAACAGTCAGAGATGGGAAGAGATTTTAGGAATAGGAAACAGCTTTTTAAATGTAAATATGGATCAAACTATCATTGCAGGAGATCATCTCAGGGAGCTATTTACTAGAGTATGTTTCAATGCTTAGGAGAAGAGATTTTCCATCAACCCTCCTTGTCCTGAGTAAATGACATCATCTCTCACACTGTAAATCCACATAATCTCCTAGCCTTGTAAGTGTAAAGCTGTAATTTAGAAGAATCATTCCCTAAATTTTTTTAATACTATCACCCCTACAGCATACCTAGTTTCACTTCATTTCCAAATTGGAGAGAGTATATATTTCAATCAGAAGAATTACTTTAAAGACAAAAAATGTTTTGAGTCATGAATCCAACTAGTAATTATAGCATTGTCCAATTTATTCAGAATTAACTTTTATAAATTCCTGACAATCTTCTGAAGTAGTTATGACTACATGTCAATAAAGACTAAAATCAAGGCTGGGTTCCCAGGCTCACACCACCAAAAGGCATCAATCCAGAAGACCATGATTCAAGGCCAGCTGAAGGCAAGACCCCTCTTCAACTAAAGAAGCTGAGCATAGTGGCACAAGCTGTGTGAGAGGTGTAGTAGAAGGATCACAGTCCAGGCCCACCTAGGCAAAACTCCATGGTGAAGCAAGAGCACTGAAATCTACTTAGGACTGATAAAATGACTGTTTTCCCAGACACGATGGGGTAGGAACAAACAGGGAGAGAAGCAGGTGATCTAGGAGTGAGAGAGTTTGTGTGTGTGCGCGCGTGTGTCTGGTGTTGGGCAGCACAAGTATGCTTATCTCTTTCAGTCCTTTTGGCAGAAGACTATTAGCAATTGGATGAGTGTACCAGTGAGGTTACTGCCAGCTCTATTTGTGTATAACTAAAATGAGTGTCAGGCAGAATGCCAGCCTATGGAAGGTCATGAAACAGACATTTAAGAAAGGTGTCGAACTGTGAACCCAGAATTTTCCCTTCAGACATGAACTCACAATCTGAAGGAGAAACTATGAATCATCCTAAGTAAAATATGCCATAAATCTGGAATTTGTTACGATTAAAGGCTTATTTTTGTAAAGAAAAAAAATTGAGGGTTAAAAGAAAATGGAGCACTGAGGGTTTCTTGGATGCATCTTCATTAAAGAGTAAACTGAGCCAGGCGCCAGGGGCTCATGCCTGTAATCCTAGCTACTCAGGAGGAAGCAATCAGGAGGATCCGGTTCAAAGCCACCCCAGGCCCAATCTTGAAAAATACCCAACACAAAAAGGGCTGGTGGAGTGGTCCAGGTGGTAGAGCACCTGTGTAGCAAGCGTGAGGCCCTGAGTTCAAACTCCAGTATCACAAAAAAAAAAGTAAACTGGGAGAGTCAGCACCTCATCCACCTGCTGGGGATCAACCCCCAAGACTAGCAAGGTTGCTCATGTTAATTTTTCCATTAGGCTCCAGTGGCTCTCAGATTAGCTTTCAAGTCCTATAGCCTTTTGGATAAAGCATCTAGGGGGGAAATCAGCATTTTTAGAACTAAGGTTGCATAATATAGACCCAGTATTAAAGTCAACTGCATGTGCACAAATCAGACTTAATACTGTAAACGAGCTCTAAAGACATGACTGTTTTCAGAGGGGCACTGGACTTATGACTGCCTTCGTACATAATGCAGATTTTAACAATGTCTATAGCTACTCTACAAAGATATGGGATGGGAAATTATATTCAACTTGATTATAACAGCCACAATTTAAATTTCTGCATAAAAACAGAACTTGCAGTAAGGAAGTGGAGTACCAAGATTTTCAGCTAGTTACATGGCGTTTTTCCTTCTACTCAAATAAAAGTTATGAGAGGAACATGAGTCTCAATTTTTTTTTTAAAGGGAAGTTCTGAAAACTTTACTGAACTTCTGAAGGAAGCTACCTAAAGGATTTAGAGAGGAAAGATAAATTGTTAAAAAATATGGCATAAAATTTAATTCTATCTTTTAAATTGCCTTCTGAGTTTATTCCACTATCAGGTCCAGTTCATTTACAGCAGAAATATAAATTACAAAGGGCTGGGTACACGCCTGTAATCCCAGCTACTCAGAAGGTGGAGATGGCAGAAGGACTGTAGTTTGTGGCTAGCCAGGGCAAAAAGTTAGCCATATCCCAGCTCCACCGACAGGCT